TTTTTTTTTAGAATGTGTCTGGTTCGTAAACGAACGTTAAATCTATGAAAATATCGACTAACACGGTCATGAAATCAATAGGAGCGTTACACGCTCTAAGAAAAAAAGGAGCATTATGGGTTCTTACAAATCGAGATTGTAACACACCAAATATAAATTTAACTTCGTCACTGCTCTTACATCATATTAAAAATACTTGTCTTTACTTTAACCCACCAACTTTTCAATTTAATAAACGAATGCTTTGAGAAGATGCATTGTATTCTCTAGCAATACGGGCTCTTAGTTTTTATTTTAGGGTAATCGAATTTACAAACTCGCGAGCCTGTAGAACTGGCTTACCGGGGTGGTAAAATTGGAAAAAATTCCTGCACTATCCACAACCTCCGTTGAGTACAAAACGTCCAAAGAGAAACGCTAAAATTCAATTGAGTGCATTTGTGAGATCATTTTCTGTTGCAATGTTAGATTTCAGTCCCGCACATTAAACACCATCAAGGTCTTGGACGCAATTTTTTTTGGTTCTGTAAAATGCGTGAAAATAATGCTTATGTTGATATATTTTTAATATTCTGTCGTAGAAGAAATATAAAATCTGTGTTTTACATTCAGGTGTCGTCAAAAGCATGAATTTTTGAGTGAGACACAAGCTTATAACGCTAATTTAGTACCTTTATTGAATCTCATTCTCACTCAATACTTTTGAATGATCAAAATTTTAAAAACATCATTCGATTAATTGAAAAGTTTTTCAGATTCATCGCATTTTGGGAGTTAAAACGAAGTATATGCTTTTTTTTCAATCCAGATAAAAACTATGCCCTTTTTTCTAGTCTGGATAAAAACTATGCCTTTCCAGAGTCCAGACACAGACAATGACCTTTTTGCCATGTCTCAACTAGAATTAAATTCTTTTATTGTGTCTGGACGAAGACTATGCTCTTTTTTTACCTTGGACGAGAACTACATTTTTTTGCGTTCCGTTATAAATTTTTTTTTTTTTTTTTTCATAACGACCCCTAGAATATTTTGCAATAGCTTACAATTATAGATCATTTATTTTCTTTAAAAATTAAATTTGCATCAATAATACTTTAATTATTAAACACATTAATAGCGTCGAAAAATTTTTTTTATAATTTTCTTAAAAACAAAAATATTTAATGACAAACACAAATGCTTGGTGAGCATAGATAAACTTCACTTATTGCTAAATTAATGATTACCCCGTGGGACTTTTAAGTGATTACTAACATTGTTCTCTTAAATAATGGGAAAAATGAAATAATAAATAAGTTGATATAATTATTCAAATTTTTTCAATTATTGTTTTATTATAAAGATGAATGCTTCATTCTAACCTCATTTATATGTGCATTTTATTGGGTAATTTTTAGGTATTTATCATAATAGCGTAGGGAACTTCCAATTTTCAATTAATTTAATTATCAAAGTTAAATCATAGACTCCTAATTAGTCAAAATATTTCAACATATGTCAAACAATGTAAACGAAGTTATTGAGTGACATTCTTATAGTATTTTTTCGTTGTCATCATCGTCAATATTAAAAATGACACAAATGAAGGGCAACAGAATAGTTTAATTTAAATTAACTACAGCCTGAAAAAACAGCTCGTTTATTAGTGTGGATACTTAGATTGAATAGCTGCTTTAACATAACTGTTTTCATTGTTTTTTAATGTAAAATTCAGAAAAAAATACAAGTTAATTATACAATGTTTTGTTGGATCGTATCACAATAAAAACTTTCTTTACTAAATTTTTACTAAATAGTAAAAGTCGAAAGCTGTTGGCAACCACATTATTTTTTAACGTACTTTTTACTAACGTTAAATAATTTTTATGAATATCTAGAGCGATAAGTAAGGATTTTAATATGCATGAGGCCCTGACAAGCACGCTAAGAAAAATTAAAATGTCTAAATATTAATATTGTAAGAAGATTCGATATAAGTTTTAAATTTGTTCATCCCTCAGCTAAATGACGGTATGACGTATAAAGAGGTTTGTCATAAGCTCGTCGAAAAAGTGTCAAAAAAAAGAGAAAAAAAAAACAAAAAAAGAGCTCACCGAAGTTTAGGCATATGGCAGAGCGTACCAATGCACAAAAGCGTTGGAAACTGCTAGCACGGGCGGTTAGTCACTTATTCAAGCCACACGAAAGAGAACTGTTGGATGAGAATAATGGTATCTCTATTCAGAGCTTCACTTCTTTTAAATTATTACAACTGGAGAGTATCTGCCTGAAGAGTGAGTCTACAAGTAGATCTTGGTGGCTGTACAGCTGCTTTGTGTGTAATAAGCACTGCGAAATACTTGTCAGCCATGTCACAAAACTCTTCGCACCCAGTGAGCTTGTGGGCTTTAACAATACTGGCAACATCTGTGTCTGGCCGTCTGAAGAGTGTCTTGCTTACTATCTTCTTAAGGTGAGTAAATTTATAAATAACTTGTTAATTGAGTGCAGTACAGAGATAGTAAAAGTATTTTACCTTGCTGATGAATCCAACTTAATTTTACAGATTTATATTATCTATTATTTTCAATTTCCAATAGTAATAATTATTTTACCAGTGAACAATAATACGTTTCCGATAGGAAATTTAACGTACAATAGGATAGTGATATTTTACAACTAGCTAGGAGGGTGAGACAGTTGTTAAAAATCGATTCGAACATTTCAATTGCTTAGAAAAATATGAATTTGCTGATAATTATTTGTCAAACAGTTTTTTTACTAAAGTTCATTTTCTTACCTTTCAAACAAAAACAAAAAATACTATAGCTTGAAAAGAACCAGAGTAATAAGTTTTCTGAAAGTTACTCTCTAAGCCAAAAACCATCAAATTCTCAAATTTTCCATCGCTTTTATACATTATAAAATTAGATTGAGAAAAAAAAAAAAAAAACCACGTACTCTATTTTTGATACAGAACATGTGAAAAAAATTTTAGCTAAATCAACGATGTAAAGGTCATTTTTTTTTAGAATGTGTCTGGTTCGTAAACGAACGTTAAATCTATGAAAATATCGACTAACACGGTCATGAAATCAATAGGAGCGTTACACGCTCTAAGAAAAAAAGGAGCATTATGGGTTCTTACAAATCGAGATTGTAACACACCAAATATAAATTTAACTTCGTCACTGCTCTTACATCATATTAAAAATACTTGTCTTTACTTTAACCCACCAACTTTTCAATTTAATAAACGAATGCTTTGAGAAGATGCATTGTATTCTCTAGCAATACGGGCTCTTAGTTTTTATTTTAGGGTAATCGAATTTACAAACTCGCGAGCCTGTAGAACTGGCTTACCGGGGTGGTAAAATTGGAAAAAATTCCTGCACTATCCACAACCTCCGTTGAGTACAAAACGTCCAAAGAGAAACGCTAAAATTCAATTGAGTGCATTTGTGAGATCATTTTCTGTTGCAATGTTAGATTTCAGTCCCGCACATTAAACACCATCAAGGTCTTGGACGCAATTTTTTTTGGTTCTGTAAAATGCGTGAAAATAATGCTTATGTTGATATATTTTTAATATTCTGTCGTAGAAGAAATATAAAATCTGTGTTTTACATTCAGGTGTCGTCAAAAGCATGAATTTTTGAGTGAGACACAAGCTTATAACGCTAATTTAGTACCTTTATTGAATCTCATTCTCACTCAATACTTTTGAATGATCAAAATTTTAAAAACATCATTCGATTAATTGAAAAGTTTTTCAGATTCATCGCATTTTGGGAGTTAAAACGAAGTATATGCTTTTTTTTCAATCCAGATAAAAACTATGCCCTTTTTTCTAGTCTGGATAAAAACTATGCCTTTCCAGAGTCCAGACACAGACAATGACCTTTTTGCCATGTCTCAACTAGAATTAAATTCTTTTATTGTGTCTGGACGAAGACTATGCTCTTTTTTTACCTTGGACGAGAACTACATTTTTTTGCGTTCCGTTATAAATTTTTTTTTTTTTTTTTTTCATAACGACCCCTAGAATATTTTGCAATAGCTTACAATTATAGATCATTTATTTTCTTTAAAAATTAAATTTGCATCAATAATACTTTAATTATTAAACACATTAATAGCGTCGAAAAATTTTTTTTATAATTTTCTTAAAAACAAAAATATTTAATGACAAACACAAATGCTTGGTGAGCATAGATAAACTTCACTTATTGCTAAATTAATGATTACCCCGTGGGACTTTTAAGTGATTACTAACATTGTTCTCTTAAATAATGGGAAAAATGAAATAATAAATAAGTTGATATAATTATTCAAATTTTTTCAATTATTGTTTTATTATAAAGATGAATGCTTCATTCTAACCTCATTTATATGTGCATTTTATTGGGTAATTTTTAGGTATTTATCATAATAGCGTAGGGAACTTCCAATTTTCAATTAATTTAATTATCAAAGTTAAATCATAGACTCCTAATTAGTCAAAATATTTCAACATATGTCAAACAATGTAAACGAAGTTATTGAGTGACATTCTTATAGTATTTTTTCGTTGTCATCATCGTCAATATTAAAAATGACACAAATGAAGGGCAACAGAATAGTTTAATTTAAATTAACTACAGCCTGAAAAAACAGCTCGTTTATTAGTGTGGATACTTAGATTGAATAGCTGCTTTAACATAACTGTTTTCATTGTTTTTTAATGTAAAATTCAGAAAAAAATACAAGTTAATTATACAATGTTTTGTTGGATCGTATCACAATAAAAACTTTCTTTACTAAATTTTTACTAAATAGTAAAAGTCGAAAGCTGTTGGCAACCACATTATTTTTTAACGTACTTTTTACTAACGTTAAATAATTTTTATGAATATCTAGAGCGATAAGTAAGGATTTTAATATGCATGAGGCCCTGACAAGCACGCTAAGAAAAATTAAAATGTCTAAATATTAATATTGTAAGAAGATTCGATATAAGTTTTAAATTTGTTCATCCCTCAGCTAAATGACGGTATGACGTATAAAGAGGTTTGTCATAAGCTCGTCGAAAAAGTGTCAAAAAAAAGAGAAAAAAAAAACAAAAAAAGAGCTCACCGAAGTTTAGGCATATGGCAGAGCGTACCAATGCACAAAAGCGTTGGAAACTGCTAGCACGGGCGGTTAGTCACTTATTCAAGCCACACGAAAGAGAACTGTTGGATGAGAATAATGGTATCTCTATTCAGAGCTTCACTTCTTTTAAATTATTACAACTGGAGAGTATCTGCCTGAAGAGTGAGTCTACAAGTAGATCTTGGTGGCTGTACAGCTGCTTTGTGTGTAATAAGCACTGCGAAATACTTGTCAGCCATGTCACAAAACTCTTCGCACCCAGTGAGCTTGTGGGCTTTAACAATACTGGCAACATCTGTGTCTGGCCGTCTGAAGAGTGTCTTGCTTACTATCTTCTTAAGGTGAGTAAATTTATAAATAACTTGTTAATTGAGTGCAGTACAGAGATAGTAAAAGTATTTTACCTTGCTGATGAATCCAACTTAATTTTACAGATTTATATTATCTATTAAATAAATAGCTATTTCAACAAAAGAAAAGGAAATTAACGCATACCCTTGACTCTTTCAACAGTCAATCAAGCTCTAATTTGGCAATATTACATAAAAATTACAAGAGAAAGTTAAGAAACCAAATTTTGAATAACCGACACTATCTGATTTTTCCCCTTTCTTTATTAAAGTATAATTTATTGTTGTTCATGTAAGTTTCAAGTTGTTTTTTGGTCTAAGAAGAATATGCGTTGAAATCACATATATTTTTTCTGTTGATTTTAGGCACACATAATACATTACCAGTAATTCTTATTGGAAAAAAATATATAGTTTGAATAGTTATGTAGAAAAGCAATAAATCCACAGAGAAATATTTCAGCAGAGAAAATTAACAACAGTAAACGATTTTAAAGTCTGCCACTTATTCTCGAAAAAATACCTCTATATCGATTAAGTTATCACAATTATAGATGATGTTAACTCTTTTCAGAAACTTAAAAGTTCTCTAACTATATCAGGATTTCCACCCTATAGTGAATTGAAATACAAACCAGGTGTGTGTCTCAGGACCCACGACAGATGTGAAACATTAAAGAATGTGTTATTGAACTCGGTAGTATTTGATTGTTTATGATGAAAATAGTAGTTTTCGTCAGAGAAGTATCGTCTCCAGGGCTATTTTGCAGCCCGAGGGACCTGTGAAACAGGGCCCGAGGGACGTAAGGCAGCTACGGAGCAATGGCGCTTATGTGGCGAATCCTATTTTTTCTACTAAGCACATATCAGCCTCCCAAAAACGTGTGAGATAGGAAAGGAATTTGTCTTTTTGACTATAAATAATATTCATTTCCTTTTTTTATATTAAAAAGACAGTTTATTTATATGTATTTTCATCTGTAAATGTTACAAATTAAGATAAAGCAAATTATGTTTATATTTTTTTTTGTTCATTAACAAATAAACAACGAAAACAAGAGAGAACAATAATAGACGGCGAAGAGTATCTTGTAACACTGTTTCTTCACTTACAAATGTAAAAAAGTGCCGACACAGCGCTGCCGAATCTCGATCACATTCGTCACCTTTATCCCTCGCACCTCTTGGGTTTCTTCTCCTGAAAAAGGGGGATTGGCACGGGAGTTCTCCCGTTCTACGGGGAGAACTATTAATTAACGCACAAACAAATACCTTTCACTTATTCTTTAATCAAATCACTTTACACTAATACACAGTATTTCTCTTCACACCTCGTCCTCTGGACTGCGATGCAGCGACTCCACCTCGCACCCCGCAACCAGCGAGCGCTCGTCCACCACATCCTGCTTGTCCTGGACCAGGAGGGGCTTTTGCTCGTCCTAGACCTACGCTAACATACACACACATTCCGTCCACAATCCTAGAGCTTATTATATTCTCTCTCTCTCTTTGCTCAGCTCGCTCTGGCTCCTTACCAGTGCTCCCGAAAGTGGCATCCAAAGTAGCGTGAAATTCAAATTGGCTATATGGAGAAAAACGCAAAAATCCACATAACTCAAGAGAATTTCTAACATAATAAATAAATAAGCCCCAAGCTATTGAACCCAATAACCCAATGCTATTTAACCCAACAACCTGGAACGCTTACTGGCCACTTTAAAATTTAATGATTTAAATAGTGACAAAAGCATCAATCACCACACAACCCGAGACGCTTACTGGTCGCTTTGTTAATTAATATAATAAATTAAATAACGCAAAGGCCAATTACCAGGCAACCCGGGGCGCTTACTCGTTGCTTTGTTAATTCCAATAAACCCAAGCCCAACGTATAATTTCGCGATAATTTAAATTCCGTTCTCAACAATTTTTTCGGAAGGCGCTGGAGGGTCGAAATGAAAAGCTGCAAGCTCTTGCAATTTCTTATCTTGCAATAGTAATTGAATAATTTTGGTTTTTCCCTGTTTGAAAGATACTTACGGGGTATCACACCCTCCAATCGCATGCGCTATGAGAATTAAATGTCTTACCTCCAGAAATTTAATAAAGTTGAAGCGCATACTTGTTTTGATTGCTGTTTCCTCAATTTCAATAGAAAAACGAGATTATGTAGGACTCTTTAACATAGTATGGCTAGTAAATTGGTGTCCTCCCTAGCTATAGCTGTATTTTTGTGGCTAGCACTAACATGTAATACTGTACTAATTATCATTTTGTTGGCGTCATCTTCAGCTACGTATGTTGTTGTAATACTATATTTTTCAAACTCTTCGCAGAAAATTTTTAGAAGTTTGGGTTTATTCTTTTTATTTGCAAGAAATTCTTGCTACAAACATGTTTTGGTATGCTGATCGAATTGCACCTCACGACTGGAATTTTTTCATTGTCTTCTCATGTGCTTCATCATTTTAATATAAGTGCTCGAGTTATTGTCATTCCCATCAATAACAATGAAAACATTGCTGTTATAGTAATTTCGTACATACGTAATGTACTTATTGTAAATAGTTTCGATCGATTCGTTCATGGCCCAAATTATTCGAACTAGCTAGCCACCATCTAGCACGTAGGCCACATCGTGCGTTGGCATCAAATTCTCGTTGAAATAATCAAACAAAATTGATTTTTTTTTGTTTTCTGCATGCCCCCTTCATTGAAAATTGATAATGGAATCGGTGACAATTCATACCTTTATATCTGATTTGGACGTAATATTTAAGGTAATCCGTTGAAATATTAGTAACAACTGTAATAGTAGATATTATGGCCTTTAACAACAGTACTTTGGACTTCTACTCAAACATGACATCGCGATAATTATTGCCAATAACTTTCTCCACAGCTTTTACTCCAATTTCCAAGGCTTTGTGGTCGTTGATTTTTAAATCACCAATGATGCCATTGGAAATGGACATCAAATTTTGCGTAATTGAAAACGGATCGTGAATCATAAAAAATATGTTATGGAACGCAAATCCGCCTGATCAAGATGCTGCACACTCTACTGCGTCAGTAGAGCAAGTTGCATGGGTAAGTCCTCCTACAGCGTGCAGAGAACGCATCAGGTATTGCTCGATGATCATATCTGTTGAAACTCCCTATCTGAACTTATCTTTCCTTTACACAGTAAAATGCCCTTACTCCATAAATTTGTATTATTCAAATTGATCGATTCTGCTCTGTAAACCAATCATCTCTTGCAAGTACAGGTGTGCTGATTTAGCATATAGACTATGACCAATGGCATAAAAATACGGAATATTGCGTTGCTGCTGTTTTCATGCATACGCTAGTTTCCAATTCTTTCAGCTTGTATGAACTGTTTTAAAATCTCGACTAAATTAAAATATACAATCAATATCAATAGTTCTGCCATCGATCCGTTTTTTTTAAAGATCAAAGTTAACTTGAGATGGTGTTTTTAATATTGATAAAGTCTGGTGATAATAATATCTTTTCAAAATCGTCATCGTGTAATTTTTCCATGATTTTAGAAATAACTTCGTCAGCTTTTTCGGTACTTGTTGATTCAATCACAATGTGTAATAAGGCTGTTTGCACCAGTAGGTGTCCCTTGCCGATCGTGAGTAATCGTGTTCCTTTAAAGCTCTGTCGACCGATCCTTCAGCATAAAATTAACAAAAGCATTCTTTCAAGCTTGAATTTTCCATTATGAACCTTATGCTTCCAAGAATACTTATGATCGTACGGAAACCTTAGTCGAACAATAACTGAACTTAATTTCTCCTCATGTACCGTGTTTTTTGTGCATGCAATAATTTCTGGTGCCTTCTGATACAATGGCTAGTCAAACATAACGAAAGTGTGATGGTAACCGTTGCTCTTACATTTTTTATCTGCTTCCAAGAGTACAGTGTAAATGGTATTGTAATGTGTAGGGGGGGGGGAATACTTTTATGAAAAGTGGAGCTATTATTTTCGTTCTCTTAAATTCACTCAGAGGTGTACACACCTCCATAAAACCTTTTCAGTTTGCTCACGAACCTGCATCAATACTTTTTCAAAAAAATATACAACATCAAGAGATTCATACTCGACATCAAACGGAATAGGATTTTTTTTAAAAAGATCAATTATAACGACATCACGTAAGCTGTGCATTTTGCTTCTCTCAAATTGTTGTAAGGGATAATATCCAAAAGTACCAGTGTCTCGACTCAAATTGGATTTTTTGAAGTATGTGATAGTATCTACGGGCGTTACAGCAGCAAAAGGGGTGACGCACATTGTACCTCCTCAGAAATGTGACTAGGGTATTGTGACTATCTATAGTGCGTGTATTATAATTTGCTTTATCGAAGACAAAAGAAACTGAGGCTTTATGGAAGTTATAGTCTTGCGGGTCATAAATAATCAACAATTGAAGGACTGTAGTCTCATTTTACGAAATTTGCCACGGTCAACACTATTTTTTCTCACTCTAGTTTCTCAACTTTCTCTATCTGTTAAGTATGTCACTCTTTGCTAAGAATTTTGTCGCGCGCGTCTAAGAAACATATAATTACATCGGTTTTCAATTTGTATGTAATAATATCATCAGAAAAAATAGTTTTCAGCTTCTCCGCAAGATATCCAATAGCTGGTCGATTGGTGATGTGGCACTTGCTTAAAATATTTTTTAAAGAAAACAGGCATTTATGATCATTGGTTGATAAGTAAGTTACAATAAACGGAAAAATCTTCAATGCCGATTCTGACACTGGACGACCGACGTTTAATGCAACTGGTTTATAATAAAACAAAGATAAGCATCAGGCGTGGTATCTCGCATGCATTTCGATAAAATCAACGTCAGTTACACACTTTCGAAGGGATGAAGACCAATCGCTTGTGGCTTCCCTCTCATTGGGAGTATTGATGATAATTTCATTAAACACCTTGCCATTTACACGTGAAACGATGGATAAATT